CTCCATTTTAATATACAAGCTTGGGCATCAGGCCTCAATTTTGAATATATTAGTTTTTTGTGTGTGTTTCAAATACCTGAGTTTATTGTGTTTTGACTACCATAGCTCAGGCCTAGTATTTTTAAAGTATTGGTGATAAAAGGGGAAAATTGAATAGCATTGGATTTTGGCCATTTCTAATTGCCCATGTGCTGTATTGTCGCTCTTGTTGCAACTAACTAGAATGAAACTTAATCTTTTTAATTGTTTTCTTAGGTGTTAAATTGTGGGGCTTCACTGCATTCTAAGTTAAAATAGCAAAGTTTTTGTTGTTATCGTTTGTCTGTTTGAATCATTGAATTCAGGATAGGAGCATAATGTTTGTGCATTATGACTGACAGAACATATTTTGTTGCAAATTGTGGCATTTATAGTTTAATTTTGTTTATGCACAGTTTTTAAAGTATTGGTGATTAAAGGGGAAAATTGAATAGTTGCACTGCATTGGTACTATTGATGTTTCGGCCATTTTTAATAGCCCATGTGCTGTATTGTCTCTCTCCTGTTGCAACTAACTAGAACTAAACTGAATATATTGTAATTGTTTTTAGATGTTACATTTTGTACATTTTGTGGCTTCCCTGCATTCTAAGTTTAAATAGCAAACAGTTTTTTTGGGATTATCTTTTGTCTGTTTGAACCATTGAATTCTGGGTAGGAGCATTGTGTTTACATGATAAAGGTATTGGGGCTAATACAGTGTGGTGGCTATTGTTTAGCCAGGCTACATTTTTACACTGGAGTGTGTTTAATAGAAAATGAACAGTTTGTATTTGAGGCAAAGGTGCCTATGTTAGATTGTTATATGTTTGGGAATTATCATTGTGCTGAAGTTACAGTCAGGTATTTTCCAGTTCCCATACCTTCCTTTAAATCATTCTGTTTATTTGTAGACCCCCCACACTGCACTTAAACAAAGGCAGAAGGGTGGTTTTGTGTTTTGCTGCCTGTGCTGCATTTGTTGTATTGAGACTGTGAAGTTTTTTTGTTTTTTTTTCTCTTTTCTCAAAAGACAAGAGTTTGTTTGAATAGGTTAATGTAATTAAGTTTCTCAAATGGTTCAATCTCTTTGGAGCAAGTTTCAGGTTTTTTTTAAAGTAATCCCATTGTTAAAAGCTTCTTGTTTTTTTTTTTACTTAGTCTGCTGGTCTATTTCGATTAAAGACTCAGGGAGAGCTCGGTTTTAAAATGTCATATCTAGGTACTAAGTATTTTTCTGCAGAAGTACTAGAGTACTTCAAGAATGACATTGACAAACATGATGGACCATATGAGCTTCCAGAACCAGCAGGCCCCAATTGTGGAAAATATGAAGGTTTCATGGATGTTTTGACACAGATTGTTACTAATAAAAAGTGCCATATTAAGAAAAGGAAAAGCTTGGTGGCACAAGCGGTTGTTGCTGCAATAGGGGGTTTGGCAAGCATGGTACTCAAATTGCAGCAAGCTAATTTAGTAACCACTAATAAAATGGAAGATGCTCTTGATGAAAGAGATTGTTTTAAAATAGCTGCCCTAAGAACAAACAAAATGACCGAGGGGTTGGAGAAAGAATTAAAGGAAATAGAACAACAGAGAGATGCATATAGTGCTAAGCTCACTGAACTCCAAAACCTTGTCATGGAATATAAAATAAAAACTAAAGAAAACATAAATAAATGGGATAAGGAGATTCCTCAAGAATGCCCAGGCCAGTCTCATTTTATATCTAAAAGTACAGAACCAGTGCTCACAACCAAACACAAGGGAAATGCGCCAGTTGTTAACTGTGTCCCACAAGCCCCTTTAATAATAACTGAACATTTTAATGTAAGAGAAATGCCTACTAGCTTCTCTAGACAGACAAGGACTATGTCAATCACAGACAAAGATAATTTCCAGAAATGGTGGGGAAGTATGCCAACTGACGACTTTAACACCTTTACACATTGGTTTATGAGGGGAGCAAATAGAGCAAAAAAAGGAGGTCTTAACTTAGAAGAATGGACAGAACTGTTAGAATATGCTATGGGTCCTTTGGCTAGCAGACTATTTGGATTTAATAACAGTGTGTCTGACCAGGCAGGAAGAATTGCTGCAACGATTTTCTATCTACTCAGCATAGAGAAAGAAATAGTTAATATTATGATGAGGCCAGCAGATGGTCCTAGAGAGGTAGCTCAAAGGATATTTTTCTGGTATACGCTACGCCAACCTCAACAGCCTCTGGTCTTGGGCTCACCACAACATATTACTAAAGTAATGGAAGCCCTTCCCTGGGAGTGTCAAGAATTTGTGAGGCTTTTTGATCCAACACCAGCAGACTTAGAAATGGTACTAACTAGAGCTGACAATTGGTGGATCAAGCATCCTTCCTCGGAACAGGCCTTCTCTGTTTCAGCTATAAGAACATTCAAGGTCGACTCTGGTAGAGATATAGATGGTAAATGGAGAAGCCAGAGGTGGGATGTACCCCAGAACAAGAGGGATAATGAGAACTGGAGACCAAAACAGGACTTTGACAAAAGATGGAGAGATCCACAGAGGGACCATATGAATGTAATGGGAGATAACTGGAGGAATAGATGGGAGGGTCCTAAGGTAATCAATAATTGTAATAATAAAAATACCTGGGAGAGGCTTAAAAGGACAGATATTAACTGGGAAAATCACAATTGGGGAGAAAAACGGAGAAACAACAGGAACAGTTATTGGGAGAATAATTGGAGAAGGAACCATAGATGGGATGAGCATCAGACCAATAGACGGAATTGGGATAATTGGAGGAATAAAGAAGGGAATACAGACTACTGGGACCTAAAGAGACAGACTGAGAGATTGGAGGCAGATGTGAAAGTGCTTAGGGAACAGATGAGGAAGGGAAATACTGATCAATTGGGGGTCCCCAGCAATGAATAACTCCCATAATTTTTGTTGTCCTCTACATCCTATGTATGTTTGTTTTTCTTTTGTTTTGTTCTTTCTCTCAGTCTTCCAGTCTCCAATTTAGCTATTCCTTTCTAATGATGAGATCTAGTGTTCCCACAGAGCAAGGCAAAGCTGTATTAGGATGATGATGTGTGTCAACAGAAGATCGTAGTGGATCCTTGTTACAGGATGGATAAGTATATGCTGTATCACAGTAGGGATGGGAGACAGGCAATACGGCCAGAAGATACTCCAAATAAGGGAGAAGATTACAGTCTATATTTTAATAATCCTTCTATTCCTCCAAGGTGTCCGGAACAACGGCGACAGTGTTTTAGGCAAAGCAGGGTGTCAGGAAAAATGGGACAATTTGCAGCTCTACTGGGAGGAGTCGGAACTGGATTGAGAGTATGGAATTCTGCAAATATCACATCCAGTCCTACAAACTTTGCTGCTAATACTCATGCTAAATAGATGAGGAAGAAACTTGAAAAGGGGGATTTTTTTGTTTTTTTTGTTTTTGTTTGTTTCTCTCTCTCTTTCTCGCTCTCTCACACATTCTTCAATAAAGTTTTACATTGCACACACACACTCTCACCTACATTCTATAAGTTCTGTTTTTTGTGACACTTTGTATAACACGTGAATTGACAGCCATAGGAAAGTACAGGAGAACTTATGTCGCTGAGGGAACTATTCCGGAGGGACGGTGGGTTGAATTTCTCCTGTATATCAGGTTTTTGCTCCCACTAGGTTTTCCTGTACCAGAGGGATAACTAGATAACGGAGCAACATAAAAGAAGAAAAAGTGGGGGAATGTGGGGTGATGCAACCCCTATTTGACTGTTTTCTTTCACCCTGCTTATATCACTCACTATAATTCCTGTGCTCCCCTTTCCTACTTCAGATCTCATAGTTTAGATAGAAGGGATAAATTATTATTTTTAAATGTGCTCAACATAAGAGAAGAAAAAGTGAGGGAATGTGGTGACATTCTGTCATCAAACTAATACGGTGACCAGGGGTCATGTGACCAAGCTCATGTTTGCTTTTCTTACAGTGGGATAAGCTTTACCCTTTTGAAATGTTAATTGGTAATTCAATACCTTTACAAGTCAGGAAAGAGATAACCACTTCCCCCTTTCTCCATTCCTCTCTGTTCCTTTTTGGCTGTGCTACAGAGCAGATGTGCAGACGCCATGGGCTAGCATGGTGAACCATGTTACACTCTGTTGCTTCCTTTTCTTCCTTGGTGGATGTGATGTTGAACTTGCAGCAGTGAGCCATTACTAGATGTGAAGGCCTAACCGTGGGTGAGATCAAGCGTGTGTGGAAGGGGTTACTATATAGATAGATAGATTTAAAAGGGTTGTTGCTCCGTGGGTCTGGGCTGTGTGTTTGTGATACATTTATAATATTGTGTTGTTGCCTTTTAATAAATACCTTTTAATGTAGACGAACCTTGTGTAATATATATATTAATTTGGTGATACACCACACCGCGGCGCGCTCGGCCACGCTACACAGAGTGCCTGGCAGGAGGGAGCGCTCTGCGCTCACCTCCTGCCGGTCACTCCGGCTTTGCGCCCGCCGGGCCGGTGCACCCTAAGGCGGCCACTTGTGCCGCCTTATGGATGCGCCGGCGGAGCGCATCCTCCCTCCGGCGACCTATGGCCGCGTGCCCACAAAGTGGGTTCGGCGTGCCACCTGTGGCATGCGTGCCATAGGTTCGCCATCACTGCTCTAGTCTTTCAAGGGAAAGGGATATTTCCCACAAAGAAACTAAGGAAAATAGAACTATTTTACCTTTAACATATCATGCCATATCTTCCATTATACAAACGTCCATTTACAAACATCGGAATATGTTATCAGCAAATACTAGTGGGTGTGACAGGTTGTTGTGCTTACCTAAAATTATTGTGTATAGGATGTTGGTAATTCGATCGTAGTTATTATTTGTGCTTCTCATGAAGAGAGTAGTTTGTCATCCAGTTTTACTATTCTTCCTAGTTTGAAGGCATCGCTCCTCAAGCTGAGTGACACCTCTGTCTCTAGGGTGTATTTACAATCTCGATGAGAGCCATTGGAGCCAGTGCAACCATTTTTCTTGGTATGTTTGGCTCTTGTCTCCCACTGTGAGGATCAGTTCTTCGATACCTCTTATGTCTTCGACTCTGTTTATCCGGTCCCTCGCCGAAGAGGTCACAGTTTGTTTCCAGAAGCTCGGGATTAGGCTCCGCGCTGCGTTTACTAGATGTGCGAGCATTCATTTTTGTATTTAGTAGATGAAAGTTGGTTGAGATGCAACAGATAGGCATCTGGAGTAAGGTCTATGGAGACATCTGTCAGTGTAGATATGACATGGTGTACCCCTTTCCAGAAAGGTTGGATCCTGGGGCGAAGGCATCGCTCATGGTAGTGAGTTTCTCTGGTGTTTTGTACCCGTGGGATTTTGTACATGATTTGTGTGACCACGAAGACACTGGTCCATTGTTCATATGTCAAGGTATGTTTCAGGTCTCTCTCCCAACACTTAGTGAAAAACGGGAGCCGTTGGTCTTCTTGTGGGGAGATTAGTAGATTTTATAGCTGTGAAATTGCATGTGGTGGTGTTGGGGGTTGCGTGCATATTGTTTTGTATGTGGATAGTGGTCTTTTGGCAGAGATTACATTTGGGATGCTATTGATGAATCTGGCTAGCTGGTGATGTCTAAATTGAATCATCAATCCCGTTGGTCCTTGTATGTGTAAGTCTGATTGTGGGACAACTTTCTCATTTACATAAATATTTTGCATCGTACTTGGGTGAGGTAGTCCCAATGAGGAGATGAACTGGGGTGAGTTCACAAGGTGAAAGGATACGTTTCCCGTAGTAGGATAGAGGGGGAACACGGAAGGCTCAAGATCTGGTAGCATCAAGATCCTCCTCCAAATTGAGATAGTCGTGGTTATTGTGGGATGTTTTCTTACAGGCCTTGCGTTAGGGCTCCTGGGTAACCAGGGAAGTGCCAGGAGGGGTGTAGTTGAAAAACTGGCTTCAATTGCCATTCATAGTTTGTCCTGAGGTGCAAGGGTCCATTCAATGACGTGTTGTAAGTGGACCGCTTGATGGTACTTTACTAAGTCAGGCATTCCCGGGCCCTCTTGCAGTTTCGGTTTTGTTAGGATCACGTGTTTGATCTGAGCTTTGAATGATGTTGCCATATGTAATCTGTAAATATTTTGTGTATCTGAGCGAAGAATGTTAGAGATGTACAAATCGGGAGTGTTTGAAGTAAATATAGGAAAAGGGGCAAAATATTAATTTTAACGACATTTATCCTACCGAACCACGTGATGTGAGGGACCATATTTTTAGGTCTCTTTGTACCCAATATGCTAGAGGTGTAAAGTTACAGCAAAAAATGTTGTGAGGTGTCGTGAGATCACGAAATGTTGTGAGATCCATACGCCAACGTATTTTTTTGCCTCCTTGCACCAGTGGAAGAGGAATTTTTCCTTAAGAGACACATTCAATGTGCGGTCAAATCCAAGAGAGATTTCCATATTTTCCAAACTCCTGCATAATGGCCATTAGTTAGGTTGCTGGTCCTTGGATGGAGAATAGTAGATCGTTGGCATATGAAGAGATTATGCTGTTCCCCCACTTCTCACTGATTCCTGTTATTTGTGGGGATGCACGGATTGCATTCAGGAATGGTTTGAAGCTAAGAACGAACAATAGGGGTGACAGCGGGCACCCCTGGCGTGAGCCATTTCGGATCTGAAATGGACAAGAAAAGACCCCGTTCATGCAAACTTTGGCTGATGGTGGGGAGTAAAGCAAGCTTATCCATGCCAACATATTCAGGCCCAGGCCTAATTGTCGTAGGGTTGTGAAGAGGAAGGACCAATCTATCCTGTTGAACGCCCTTTATGCATCTGTTGAGACCAGATGTGAGGGAATAGCCTGCTTCTGGGCTGTGTGGATCAGATTAATCACCTGTTTCTCACAAATCCCACCTGATCTGGGTGTATGATGTTGGGTAGCAAGGACTGGATGCGGAGAGCCAAGATTTTCACAAAGAGCTAAAGATCGGAGTTCAACAGGGAGATCATCCTGTAGCTCGGGCATGCAGTTGGGTCCTTCCCCTCTTTCTGTAGTTTTACTATGTGGGCCATTAACGTATATGAATCTAAGGTTCCTCCGTCCTTTATCTTATTTAGCATGTGGAGCTAGTACATGGAAATAAGTTCTGTAGTATTTGATGGTGAATCCATCAGATCTGAGACTCTCCATTTTTAACTAGTTTAAGTTCCTTGGAGAGTTCTTCTACTGATTGGATCTTTGAGGGAATTTGCGGTTTCCTCGTTGATTTTGGAGGTAAGGTGTTTTATAATGTATTCTAATTGTTGGGTCACTTTACTCAGATCTGCGATCCCGGTTCCAGTTGTGGTTTCGGGAATATTGTACAGTGATGCATAATACTGACGGAACCTTTCAGCAATTGAGTTAGGCGTGGTGCTGGAAATCCCGTCGCAGAGGATTTTGGAGACAAAACATTTCTGTCTACATAATCTTAGTGCTCTAGCTAGCATCTTGCCACTTTTGTTCCCATATCCGTAGAATGCTTTTTTGGCCAATAGGAATTGGAATTTGATTTTGCTCGTCAGACGAGAGTTAAGTTCTGCCCGGGCTGAGGTGAGTTGTTTGCATGTATCATATCCTAGAGTGGATTTATGTTGTGTTTTGAATTGTGCTATCCTATTCAAGAGATCAGAAATTTATTGTGAGCACTGTTTCTTTTGTGGGGGTCCATGTTTGATCAGAAGGCATCGTATGGTGCATTTATGGGCTTCCCAAATGGTTGCCACAGTCAGATGGTGTGTTCGTAAGGAAAAACTGTTCTAAGTGTTTGTGAATATCAGCCTGTATAATGGGGTCAGCTATCAGTGATTCATTCATGCGAAAGATCCATTGCTTTTGGTGGGACGAAGGGGATCTTATGGAGATGAGGACGGGTGCGTGATCAGACCAGGACATCTGTGCTATGGAGGCAGAGCGTAAATCGTCTAGGTGGCGATGTTGAGAAAGTAGTTTATTCGCGAATAGGAAGTATGAATCCCTCGTGGTGGGGCGTTTGGTTTAGTCTAGGGCAAAGTGCACGGAGCGATCTGTCAATGTGGAGTCGGGCGTCAGATGGTTGGCCCAGTATGAGATTAAATAGAGGTACCAACACAGCTCATATATCCTCCTGGTTCTGTGCTTCAAGCAGGCTTCTCACCCTGATATTATGTCTGCTGCTTCTGTTGTCAAGGTCTTCAATATGTCAATATGTAGCCTTGTATGTTGGACAGTTATAGGTAGTGCTGAGCATGAGGCTTCAGGGCCTGCAAACTCCAAGCCAGTCCCTCTGTTCTTCAGTGCTGACAGGGAGGTGCGGAGAGTTGCCATCTCTGTCTGAAGGGTTAGTTTCACTTCTTCTAGAAGGGTTTCGGGTGTTGGTCTCTGCTGAGGATTCCTCTCTAGAAAGTGAGGAGCTCGGAGAGGAAGGAGCCTTTTGTGATGCCTCGTGCTGCGAGGTAAGAACGCCGGGGTTTGGAGGAAGCTGCGGATAGAGGAAGACTGTACCTCCCCTTGTGGTCTGAGTGTCGAGGGGGTCATTTGGGTGTGTTTGGTTCGACCCATGGATACCATAAATGTGCTGATGTTTTTGCTTCTTTTTATCTGTACATCTGTACATTTTATTTTATTTATATTATTAGGTTTTTAATCTTCTGTCTTGCTATTTTACCAATTCAAATGCCATATACTTCTCTTAAGAGATTACTTACATTGCGTTTCCTTTTTATTTGTATTTGTTTGTATGTTTGTTTACCTTTCTTGTTTATTACTGATGTTCTCAACAACAATGTTCAAGTGTCCCTCTAAACAACATAATAACTTATGCTCATTGCATCTAGGTCCCCAGTACCATTTTCTGCATATTGTGGCTAATGAGTGCAATAATTTTCATAAATTGGTTCATCTATAAGACTGCCCATTATCACTTGGACATAAAAGAACACATTGATACTTTCTCCTTTACTATACAGATCTGTAAAATGCACCGTGTGGACACATGCTGTACAAGTCCCTGCCATTCCCTATCTGTCTTGCTTAATATTGAAAAATGCTATGTACAACCCCATTCAGAATTAAAGAGTAGTGATGTTGCGAACATAAAATTTTCGGTTAGCGAACGGTGAACGCGAACTTCCTCAAATGTTCGCGAACCGGGCGAACTGCCATAGACTTCAATAGGCAGGAGAATTTTAAAACCCACAGGGACTCTTTCTGGCCACAATAGTGATGGAAAAGTTGTTTCAAGGGGACTAACACCTGGACTGTGGCATGCCGGAGGGGGATCCATGGCAAAACTCCCATGGAAAATTACATAGTTGATGCAGAGTCTGGTTTTAATCCATAAAGGGCATAAATCACCTAACATTCCTAAATTGTTTGGAATAACGTGCTTTAAAACATCAGGTATGATGTTGTATCAATCAGGTAGTGTAAGGGTTACGCCCGCTTCACAGTGACAGACCAAACTCCCCATTTAACGCACCGCAAACAACCGCAAACAGTCCATTTGCACAACCGCAAACTTTTGCACAAGGTTGGATACCAAGCTAGCCATGTCCCATTCCTTGTCCTCACTGATGTCATTGAAGGTCTCTTCCTCCACCCAGCCACATACAACACCAAGGGTCCCCAAAAGGTGACAACAAGCCCCCTGGGATGCCTGCTGTGTTTGGTCATCCACCTCCTCAAAGCCACCTTCCTCCTCTGACTCCTCTTCTTCAGACTCCTCTCTCTGCGTTTCCTGTCTCTGCGTTATTATAAGATGTGTTAAGTAGTACTATTCCTATCAGTTTAATCCCCGTTAGTCCCCTATCTGGGGACGTGTATATGGCATCGATTTTAGGAACCGGGAGATGGAAAAAGATGCTTGGTCGGTCCTCCTACTTCAAATTTGGGGCACTGCGCGTGCAATCTAATGTGCCACCAGATAGGAGTGGTGTGTTAAGTAGTACTATTCTTATCAGTTTAATCCCTGTTACGTCCCCTATCAGGGGACGTGTATATGGCATCGATTTTAGGAACCGGGAGATGGAAAAAGATGCTTGGTAGGTCCTCCTTCTTCAAATTTGGGGCACTGCGCGTGCATTCTAATGTGCCACCAGATAGGAGTGGTGTGTTAAGTATTACTATTCTTATCAGTTTAATCCCAATGTCACGACTACTAGCGTGGTCCAGCACGCAGAAACATATACATAGGCAAGAAAAGGAAAATAAAAGGACAGAGCGTAAACCGGACCTTAGAATGGCTGGACTAATACGCTAGTGACAGAGAATGGTCAAAGGGAAAGCCGAGGTCAAGGAAGCCAAAAAATACACAATACGTTTACACAAGCCAAGTCAGGGAAACCAGAATTCAGAATAACCAGGGAAAAGCCAAGATCAGGATACCAGGAAATCAGATTCACAATGATAAAGCACTCTCAGGAAACCAGGAACAGGAAACCACGACAGGGCAAGGTACTGGGGTAAGCTAGGGATTTAAATATCATGCGGCGGGCCGGAAGCCGTGACACCCTGTTACGTCCCCCTCATCAGGCCTTTTTTAGTCGAATGTATCGCCCACTGTCAGTCCCTTCTGGATTCCATCCCTCATTCATCTTAATAAAGGTGAGGTAATCTAGACTTTTTTGACCTAGGCGACTTCTCTTCTCAGTGACAATACCTCCTGCTGCACTGAAGGTCTTGTCTGACAGGACACTTGAAGCGGGGCAGGCAAGAAGTTCTATCGCAAATTGGGATAGCTCAGGCCACAGGTCAAGCCTGCACACCCAGTAGTCAAGGGGTTCATCGCTCCTCAGAGTGTCGATATCTGCAATTAAGGCGAGGTAGTCTGCTACCTGTTGGTCGAGTCATTCTCTGAGGGTGGACCCCGAAGGGCTGTAGCGATGCGTAGGACTTAAAAAGCTCCGCATGTCCTCCATCAACAACACGTCTGTAAAGCGTCCTGTCCTTGCCAGCGTGGTCATGGGAGGAGGAGGATTACTTTCACCTCTTCCCCTGTTAGATTCCCGTTGTGCTGTGACATCACCCTTATACGCTGTGTAAAGTATACTTTTTAATTGATTTTGGAACTGCTGCATCCTTTCCGACTTGCCGTAATTCGGTTACATTTCAGGCACTTTCTGCTTATACCGGGGGTCTAGTAGTGTGGACACCCAGTACAGGTCGTTCTCCTTCAGCCTTTTTATACGAGGGTCCCTCAACAGGCACAAAGATAGCATGAAAGACCCCATTTGCACAAGGTTAGATGCCGAGCTACTCATGTCCTGTTCCTCGTCCTCAGTGATCTCACTGAAGGTATGTTCTTCCCCCCAGCCACGTACAACACCACGGGTACCAGATAGGTGACAACGAGCACCCTGGGATGCCTGTTGTGGTTGGTCTTCCTCCTCCTCCTCAAAGCCACATTCCTCCTCTGACTCCTCTTCCTCACAATCCTCTTCCAGCGTTGCCGCAGGTCCAGCAAGCGATGCTGATAAGGCTGTTTCTGGTGGTGATGGTGACCACAACTCTTCCTCTTCACGCTCATCTACGGCCTGATCCAGCACTTTTCGCAGGGCACGCTCCAGGAAGAAAACAAATGGTATGATGTCGCTGTTGGTGCCTTCAGTGTGACTGACTAGGTTTGTCACCTCCTCAAAAGGACGCATGAGCCTACAGGCATTGCGCATGAGCGTCCAGTAACGTGGCAAAAAAATTCCCAGCTCCACAGAGGCTGCCTAGCACCCCGGTCATACAAATACTCGTTAACGGCTTTTTCTTGTTGGAGCAGGCGGTCGAACATTAGGAGTGTTGAATTCCAACGTGTTTGGCTGTCGCAAATCAAGCGCCTCACTGGCATGTTTTTTCACCACTGGATATCTGAAAAGTGCGCCATGGCTGTGTAGGAATGCCTGAAATGGCCACACACCTTCCTGGCCTGCACGGCACATGTGTCAACTTGCCCAAATGCAATGCCGCCAACAAATTTCTTCCGTTGTCACAAACCACTTTGCCGATCTCCAGTTGGTGCGGAGTCAGCCACTGATCCACCTGTGCGTTCAGGGCGGACAGGAGTGCTGGCCCGGTGTGACTCTCTGCTTTCAGGCAAGTCAACCCCAAGACGGCGTGACACTGCCGTATCCGGGATGTGGAATAGTACCTGGGGAGCTGAGGGGGTGCCGTTGATGTGGAGCAAGATGCAGCAGTAGAAGAGGACTCAGCTGAGGAGGTTATAGAAGAGGATGGAGTAGGCGGAGTAGAGGAGGTGGCAGCAGGCCTGCCTGCAAGTCGTGGCAGTGTCACCAACTCCTCTGCAGAGCCACGCATTCCATGCTTGGCAGCCGTCAGCAGGTTTACCCAATGCGCAGTGTAGGTGATATACGTGCCCTGACCATGCTTTGCAGACCAGGTATCAGTGGTCAGATGGACCCTTGCCCCAACACTGTGTGCCAGACATGCCATTACTTCCTTTTACACAATTGAGTACAGGTTGGGGATTGCCTTTTGTGCAAAGAAATTTCGGCCGGGTACCGTCCACTGTGGTGTCCCAATAGCTACAATTTTTTGAACGCCTCAGACTCCACCAGCTTGTATGGTAAAAGCTGGCGGGCTAAGAGTTCAGTCAAGCCAGCTGTCAGACGCCGGGCAAGGGGGTGACTTTGTGACATTGGCTTCTTACGCTCAAACATGTCCTTGACAGACACCTGACTGTGGGCAGATGAGCAGGAACTGCTCAAGGCGAGAGACGGAGGGGCGGATGGTTGAGAGGGGGCAAGGAGGACAGCAGTGGCTAACGTGGCTGAAGATGCTGGACCAGGAGGAGGATGGCGGCTTTGAGTTTGTGTGCTGCTTGTACTCATGTGTTAATCCCATAGGCGTTTGTGATGTGCGATCATGTGCCTTCGCAAAGCAGTTGTACCTAGGTGGGTGTTGGACTAACCACGACTCACTTTCTTTTGGCACAGGTTGCAAATGGCATCGCTTTTGTCAGAGGCAGACACACAAAAAAAATGCCACACTGCTGAGATCTGCAATGACGGCATTCTGGTGGTGGCAACAGCATGCGTTGATTGGCGTGCTGTCTGGCTGACCCCGGGTGCCGATGCATGCTGTCTGACTGTGCCACTAGCTCCTTGCGACGACCTCCCCCTGCTTCCAACTCGTCTCCTCCTCCTCCTCTGTCTCCCCATCTGAACTTTCCCCCTGTTCTTCTTCTCTTCTAGCGGGCACCCACGTGACATCCATGGACGCATCGTCATCATCAACCGCTTCACTTGTATCTGACAACTCAGCAAAGGAAGCAGCAGCGGGTACAACATCATCATCATCACACCGTATGTCCATGTGTGTAATGCTGCCTGACTGAGACATATCCCTGTTATCTACATCCTCTGGCAATAATGGTTGCGCATCACTCATTTCTTCCAACTGATGTGTAAATAACTCCTCTGACATACCAAGTGAAGCTGCTGTGGTGCTAGTGTTGGTGGTGGTGGCAGGCGGGCGAGTGGTAACTTGAGAGGTGCCCAAAGCTAAGCTGGAGGAGGATGGTGCGTCAAGGTTCCGAGCGGAAGCTGTTGAAG